CCCCTTCAATAAAAGATGCTATAGTTACCCCCCACATTTTGAACCCCTCATTTTAAAGACCTTAATTTAACATTGGAACTTTTGGATTTGTTGAAGCTGTACGTCATTCATTTACGAAAATGATACGTAGCGAGGTTAACATAGTCAGTATTAAGACATAAAAATTGTGTCTTGCTAACAATCGTCACTGGACTTGTAACATGTCAATCTCTTTTGACATCTACCTATATGCTACGATATGACATAATTTCTAAAGTTCATTTATATACTTAGGTCGTGTGTCGGTTCATTTTCCTTTAGTAGCTTTGGGGAGGTGTAACGGCCTGGGTTTTGGAACAATGCACAAAAGATAAAACTAGGCATGACAATATCTATTTTGAAATGGGGCCGGTTTGCTAGTAAAAGAGAATTGAGCTCCGCATTACCTATTTAAATAAATGAACTTTAGATATCATGTAATTTCGTAGCATTCAGTTGGGTTGCAAAAGAGATTGACATGTTATAAGTCCGGTGAACTTTTTTAATGAAGACAGAAGTCTTAGGGTTTTACTATTGACTATGTAAACCTGTCTATGTACCATTTAAGTAACTAGCGTACAATATCTAAACATTCAAATTACAGATATGAGTTCTTATTTTCTAATTTGGGTCTTATATGAAGGTTAGAATTTATGGTGACTATCACAACTTTCAGGGGATTTGTTGAACCTCCATAATTTAGGTCAATGACGTTTCAAAATGAACAATATATTGAAATATTTAGCTACAGGTGTTCTGGATTCTGAAATGCTTTACATATAGAGGGAATTAATCTAAGTCTCAATATGACACCTTTTACCAAGTCTCGGGAAATGCTCTGATGTGTTTTTGATCAAATTAACAAATGATGCTTTGTGGTGTTCTATCGTCAGATTGTGCTGTCGGAACATACGGTTACAATTGTGATAATAATTGTCCGGATGTGTGTAACGGGATGCCTTGTAAACAAGCAAACGGAGCATGCGCAGGTACACATCTACATGTAATAAGAGAGCATCCGATACACACTGTCCAGAATCGTTTACAAAAAAGATTATTTCAAAATAGCTAATGGATATATTGTCACGTTATTTGTTTCGATAAATTCAATGAAATTCATATGGTATTAAGACATATTCAAAATACATTCTAAGATGCTTTTCTACGCTAAAACATTCATAATATTATCTAGATACATAAAGGTTTGATGAATTAAAGTTTCCCTCCAATTATGTTTAAAGAAACACTTGTTTAACAAAATGGTCGACCATGTATGAATAGTGGAGCGCAGTAAACTGTAACATTTTCCCGTATAGATTGTCCAGTAGGAAGATTTGGTGACCGCTGTGACCCTTGTCCTTCCAATTGTCTCCTTGACGACTGTACGACTGAGGGATACTGCGAAGGTGATTGCAAGAAATTAGGTTGTAGTAAACACCATTGTCCTCAAGGTTCCAACAGCATTGTATTTGTCCGTCATCATTGTCTACCAGGTCCTTACAGTATTGTATTTGTCCGTCATAATTGTTCTCCAGGTCCTAACAGTATTGTTTTTGTCTATCATCATTGTACTCCAGGTCCTAACAGTATTGTATTTGTTTATCATCATTGTCCTCCAGGTTCTAACAGTAACGTAGTTGTCTATCATCATTGTCCTCCAGGTTCTAACAGTATTGTATTTGTCTATCATCATTGTCCTCCAAGTTCTAACAGCATTGTATTTGTCTATCATCATTGTCCTCCAGGTCCTAACAGTATTGTATTTGTCTATCATCATTGTACTCCAGGTCCTAACAGTATTGTATTTGTTTATCATCATTGTCCTCCAGGTTCTAACAGTATTGTATTTGTTTATCATCATTGTCCTCCAGGTTCTAACAGTATTATATTTGTCTATCATCATTGTCCTCCAGGTTCTAACAGTATTATATTTGTCTATCATCATTGTCCTCCAGGTCCTAGCAGTATTGTATTTGTCTATCATCATTGTCTACCAGGTCCTAACAGTATTATATTTGTCCGTCATCATTGTCTACCAGGTCCTAACAGTATTGTATTTGTCTATCATCATTGTCCTCCAAGTCCTTACAGTATTGTATTTGTCTATCATCATTGTCCTCCAGGTCCTAACAGTATTGTATTTGTCTATCATCATTGTCTACCAGGTCCTAACAGTATTGTATTTGTCCGTCATCTTTGTCTACCAGGTCCTAACAGTATTGTATTTGTCTATCATCATTGTCATCCAGGTCCTAACAGTATTGTATTTGTCTATAATCATTGTCCTCTAGGTCCTAACAGTATTGTATTTGTCAGTCATAATTGTTCTCAATGTCCTAACAGTATTGTATTTGTCTATCATCATTGTCTACCAGGTCCTAACAGTATTGTATTTGTCTATCATCATTGTCATCCAGGTCCTAACAGTATTGTATTTGTCTACAATCATTGTCCTCCAAGTCCTAACAGTATTGTATGTGTCCGTCATAATTGTTCTCAAGGTTCTAACAGTATTGTATTTGTCCATTATCATTGTCCTCCAGGTCCTAACAGTATTGTATTTGTTTATTATAGTTGTCCTCCAGGTCCTAACAGTATTGTATTTGTCTATCATCGTTGTCCTCCAGGTTCTAACAGTATTGTATTTGTCTATCATCATTGTCCTCATGTCCTAACAGTATTGCATTTGTCTATCATCATTGTCCTCCAGGTCCTAACAGTATTGTATTTGTCCATGATCATTGTCCTCCAGGTCCTGACAGTATTGTATTTGATTATAATCATTGTCCTCTAGGTCCTTACGGTATTGTATTTGTCAATCATTATTGTCCTCATGTTCTAACAGTATTGTATTTGTTTATTACAGTTGTCCTCCAGGTCCTAAAAGTATTGTATTTGTCCATTAGCATTGTCCTCCATGTTCTAACAGTATTGTATTTGATTATCATCATTGTCCTCTAGGTCCTTACAGTATTGTATTTGTCAATCATTATTGTCCTCATGTTCTAACAGTATTGTATTTGTCCATGATCATTGTCCTCCAGGTCCTAACAGTATTGTATTTGTCCATTATCATTGTTCTCCATGACCTTACAGTATTGTATTTGTCCATGATCATTGTCCTTCAGGTCCTGACAGTATTGTATTTGATTATCATCATTGTCCTCCAGGTCCTAACAGTATTGTTTTGATTATCATCATTGTCCTCCATGTCCAAACAGTATTGTATTTGTCCATTATCATTGTCCTCCAGGTCCTAACAGTATTGTTTTGATGCATTGTTCTCAACATTGTACAAAATAATAACACTGTCAATTTGGTAACCAATTACACATTTAGGCTGTAAAACTGGCAAGTCTGGTGTCCATTGTAACAAAACCTGTCCGACTAACTGCAAAGGCCAAATTTGTGAACAAACATCAGGAATTTGTGCAGGTAAATATATTTAGATATTGGTTTAATTTTTTTCAAATTAGATAAATTTAATCGTCGAAATATTTAAGTGAAAAACTGTAATTTAACTTGTCAATCACCGCGAAAGTTGATAGTATTGTCATAATGAGTGATTTAATTTACATGTCTCTTTTGATTTATATAAAGAGTGCGAACCTGGTACCTATGGATATAGATGCGAAAAATCCTGTGCTGACAGTTGCCGAGGTAGACCTTGCTTTCAGACTGATGGAACGTGTGAAGGTATTGCAGTTATTAATATAACGAATTAAAATTCTAAATTGTCAACTTCGTGACGTCACTAATTTACCTCTTCTTTCTATCATTTAGTTGTAAGTTAATGAATTTAAATAATTCAATATAACGTATCGCTGTGTTATAACAGAAATGTCGTCTACCGGAAGTACTAATGATTCCCCGACAGACGGAGTAGATGTTCCTGTCCTTTCAGCGTTGTTGGGGATAGTTTTTCTTCTGTTGGTAGCTGCTGTTGTCTATATCATCCGGTATGTCCAAGTTTGCATAACTTATATAAACAATGCTTGTTTGAATACTTGTCTCCTTCAAATGCAAACAGAATGCCAATGATTGTCTCGTTTGTCAGTTTGAGAGGGATAATGCAAGAACAATCATAAATAATATCAAAAACTGATACATTTCACTTCGGTGAAACTTTTCAAAAATGTTTATAAATACATGGAGCAGTTTGATTTGAAGTGATTATCTATAGTCATTGTTTCTATGACTATGATTGTAGAATGAAACAAACAACTGACACAGCTCCCGCTACTGCCAAAAAAGAAGGTACGTTTTTTGTTTGTTTCATACACATTAAGAAAGTATATAGTGTGTTGTAGAAAATATTTAACAATTAATTTCCTTTCCTTTCAAAGGAAGAACGTGCAAATTCATAAAAAAAAATCAATTCACGCGAATAATAATCTAAATAAAACAGAAAAATAAGAGATAACAAACGTTATCATTGCTACATTGACGCTCAGATGACTGTGTTAACCTTGGTATACATAAATAAGTGTAGGTAAAATTATATGCACGGAAAGTTCTAAGCCATTCAGATATGTAAATTTCTATAATACAAATATTACGATATAAGAGTCATCTTTAGAATATGTCGGTCTCGCAACACTAGCTTCTCCATGGGGTGATACTCGGTATTATCTCCATCTGATAAATGTTTTTTAATTTATTATGCGTAACGTCAATAGCAAATGTTTTCTTTCGCTTTTTTTGCTCAAAATCATCAAGTTCTATGACAGCATGTCTTTAATCCCTTTCAACGGTTGATAGTTTGTACTATCACCCACAGAAGATGTTTGTTTATCAAGTGTTAAATGTGATTGCGATCGTGGGACATTTTTATATGATTTCGATTGTCTTGTCAGATGTATCAATATGTATATGCCACTTCATCTTACAGATCACCATTATGCTGAGTTGAATATGACTGAAATGGAACAACATCACTTGTACAGCATGTCAACACTTGAGGACTGAACTGTTACGATCGCTGCCATACTATACTTTGATTGATGCATCATGCATTTCGATTCCTATTTCATTTGATTACATGATACCTTTGCACATTTATTAAAATAAAACTTTTTTTTTATAACATTTTTCATTATACGACGAAAGTATAAAAAAAAGTATTAAATGACGAAGGTTCAATTTGATTAAAAGATCTGTCATGAGTTTCCCTGCGTATGATATTTATGATATGAGTTTGGATTATTTTATTTGCCTTCTAAGCGAGCAAAACTGAAAACTACATGTAGTAAACGATTGTATATGAAAAGAAACAAATGACATATTCTTTTTATCATATGACGAACTTACCATCGTTTTTTTTCCCAACTTGGTTTCTGTTTGTCGTCATCGCAAGCTGATCGTCAACATGTTACTAAATCACTCAAAACCGAAAGAATGTCAAATTAACCTGCAAAAGAAGAAAAAGCCAAAGAAACAGCCTGGATTCATGAATGAAGTCATCCGTAATATATTCTAAACACATGAAATTATTTACATATTTACAAATTATGTATAACAAATCCTTAATTTACTAGAGCCTGGGAGACTGTCTGTTCGTGATGTCGGGCGTGACGTCACTTGGTGCGAAACGGTGTCATACACAACTAACGGACGGCGCATTTTGACACCTACGGAATTATCCATGTTTACATAATAATTGATGGGGATATTGAATGTTCCAACCAGAATGTTTTTTTTAATCGAATATAATGCTCAAACTAACTTGAAAGGCAAAGAATGCTAATGGTTTGTTGAAAGTGTTTTGGATTGTGTTACACATGTGCAAGTATTTGTCGACGATTAAGTAAGGTGATTGTTCGTTGTCATACTTGTATTGTGTTAAATTGTTTCTTGTACTGGCCGTCATTTACAAGGCTGTAATTGTTTAAGCTCCGAAATTTATAATGACCGATGATTTGCATCAGACAGTTTGGGAGAATGTTTGATTACTAAAATATAATCTCTTGAAACAAGGCGTCATTTTAACGCTTCGTAAGAAAAGAAAAAGGTCTTGCCCACGCGTATGAATACAATTCACACGGAACTAGCCAATCGACGTAACTGCAGGCTTCATCACACGTGTTTCATAAAGAAAGGGTATATACTGGCTTTATTACAGTGTATATCATGGTAGACGCTTGTTAACATATTTAATGACATGATGAATGTTCGTTTGTATTTTAATACACTCCTTGTACCGTTTTTTCTTGTGTTATCCTATTTCGTTTTTAACTTTTTATTACATTTAACTGACCAGTTTATAATGCTGCCTTCGTACGTACTAGCGTAAAATATTGTTACATTAACCTATTTTTATAGGACTATTTGCGTCTTGTTTTAAGTAAACTCCGCCAAAAAAGAATGGGAGTTGTCCAAATGTTTCAATTTATTGCAAATGCAGTAAATTTATGCCAATTTTTATAAACATTAAATGATTGATGTATATTTAAAGTCAATATTAAAATCCATTTAATATGTACAAGTATATTATTTAGTATAGATCTTACCAAGTTCGAAAATTGAAAAATTTGAAAAGCAGTTAATTTTGGGACAAGGCAACATATTGACTTTGTTAGCAGGTTTTTCTTGAAATGATATTTTTCATTTAACAACACTACATGAAACATGATTTCTCTCCATCTAAATATTTTTTTATAAAGTACATATAATTCTTGTCTGTTAAACCATTATAACACAAGGATTGTATTGGTGATTGGTCTAGTATTGAAATCACTACATGTTTGTATAAAATAACAGTATTTGTTAAACAAAGCACAGATACTCTGTAAACCATTGCCACCTATGACGTGTATCAATGATTCCTAATATGGTATTGTTATCAGAATGGTAAATTTGTGAAGACTAAGAATGTCATGCGCTGACATCGGTCGCTAAACTGTCATTAGACAGGAATGCTGCAGGCGAGGAAAACGCAAAGAAAATTGTATAAACTTAGCTGTGTACAATAATAATATATCTACACGATATAATATCATCTTACAAATTTCGGTTGTTTTATAGGCAATACGATTTTTGAATATACTTACGAAACCGAACATGTCAGTAGCATGAAGTAAATACAGGACTCGATCTGTAAGAGCATGCGTGTTGTATTTAGTTTATCATACATACTTAAAACTCACATGTGTATAACGTTATTAAATCATTAACATGTGTATTTTTTATAATTAGCCAGACGTGCGAATTCTTTTTAAATGGACACACATGCATATATTTTATTTAGGTCATGCGTGCATATTTCTTATTAAATAAATCACACATGTAAATTGTTTCTCTCCGAATATATCAGCAGAAACAATGTCATTTTTTTCTTCAAAAAACAATTTGCATCCTGCAGTGAAATAAATTTATATTATATTTCTGTGTTTTATTGTTATGTTTAACCGGATATATAAAAATATGCTGGGATCTCTTCAACATGCGAACATTAACCAAAAGAAAAGAAAAAGGAAAGTGTGCACCAATGTTACGTATGTCATGAGTTATATATAAATATTATTAGTTAATACAATTACAGACTGGTGGTACTTCACCATGACACGCGTCAGCTTTGCAAGTGCATGGCGCCCTCTTATTCATATTGGGGCTCTGTTTTAAGTGTTGTAAGCAGATAGCGAATGGTTTGATAATGCGATTGAACATATATTGATGACGCCAAAGGGACATATAATTCTAAAAGATGACAGTTCGATACCTAACTACTCAGATATTGTATTGACCAACGGTGAACAGAATTGTAGTACCTTTGTTTTTGTTTCTTCTGATTATGGGGTCGGAAGGGTGGGGGATTTAGAAAAGATTACAAATAAAAACCAATAGAGACTACTGCATCGTTAACATCGTGGTAGCTCCGGAAGGAATAGCGTCTTTTCCTCATGCTTTAAAGGCCGGGATTCGGTATCCAGGCAAACCATTGGTTACCTAATCTCTACAAAAAATGTATGTGACAGGTCAGCAGCCAAACTCAGTTTGTGTGAGAAGAGGTCCTGCTCTGTACAGTTATGTGCAACATGATATGTCTCATGATAATTGTGAATTGACTGTGTGTGTTTACATTTACAAGCTGTGGAAAACAAAAACAATTAACAGACACTATCGTTCAGAATTATAATTTTGGTTTAAATGATGTAAACATCATTTTTTGTTGAATGATATTATTCCATAAACTCCATTCTATTCACAGTTATTCCCACTTATGTCCCATGTATGACTGTCCTTTAGGATTTGGGTACAAATTCCTGACACAAGTTAGAACACACACTGGCATAACTTCTCGGCGATGGGTGACAACCCATTCACCTTCTTCCATTCCACCTTTCTTGGCGAGATATCGGGGGTCATTCCATCCTCTAAGATTGTTAATCACTTTCCAGTGTTTTGAGTATTTCTCTTTTCTTATGACACTGTTTTCTACACATGGAGCCTGTCCATTTCCCAACCATTGGTGGTAATGTGAAGTCACACATGGCGTTTGGAAACAGTGAGGACAATCAGTTTCTTGAACTGCTGGTAGAGATGGATAACCATCCAAAAACCTATAACTTTGTTGTTGATATTGGGGAGCACATACTCGACTTTTCTGTGTGGAAAATGACTTGCTTGAAAATCAAATGAATGACAATGAAGAGGAGGAAGAGGATATGCTCGACGAAAGTGACGATAGTGACGATGGCAACGTGTGATTAGACATATAAAGTGGTAAAAGTGGCGCGGAAAGTATCCGAAAACACAAAAGGAATGTTATTATGTGACGTAGTTCCATTCCAGGATCTCTGACTTCACTTTTATTTTTTCCAAGTGTTGTTTGTTTTTCAAATTGGATTATAGTTCTACATTTCAAACACGGAAACATTGTTGGTAGATTTTTGTGATTTTAACTTCGACTTTGATGTTGATTCACTTGATACATATATGTAACAGTGATTTGTATTTCGAGTTTGGAGTGTATATATCATTCATAGTTTCTGGTAGTGGATTTTTTTTGTTTTTTTTTTTTTTTTTTTTTTTTTTTTTATCTCAACAGCAATAAGTTATGCTATTAGAAAATAATGATATAAATACCAGCTATTATTTCACTTAAAGTGTAATATAAATATTGTATAGAAATAAAATAAGACATTATTATTATATTCATATCATGCTGCATGAAAAATTTGTATGTATGTTTTTCAATCATACTTTCTATAAAAGACATATACATCTATAATACATAATGTATGGACAGTCAATTAAAGAATACATTATGTAAGGTGTTCTATAATGTATACCGCTATTAATTTTATTTATGTCTCTATTCATACAATAATGTTGTTATATATGTCGTTATATACATTTATCCCATTTAATGCTCAAGTAAATATGACTATTTCATAATGAAACAAAATGTTCATGTATTTTCTTGTATCAATATCAATCAAGAGAAGGGAGTATAGGCTCACACCATTCATGAGTGGTCAAAATACCTTCAGTATACACTCATAGACACAGACACGCGTGTGCTGCCCACGAAACTAGACCTTAGGGAGCTGGCTCTGTAGCCTTGCTAGGACAACATTAATTGATACTGTCAATGTCCCAGATGACACTAACATACACAAATTGCACTGAATCTCGGCCTGCGTTCTAATAACTGCAGTCAAACTGATGAGTGGGGGCCCCGTTATCAATGTTCATCAATTCATCAGCCCTTTAAATCTAGATTCATTCATTTTACTCCTTTTCCAGTTGTCCTTCCTTTCCGGCACTTGAGGGTTGACCCATTCTAGGATGTGAATCTTTGTATGGTCGCCGCTGTTGCTTGGCATTTGGTTAATCATCCCGGTCCTGTCTATAACTTTTAATTATAAAAAACCCAGCTTAATGATATTGTTTGTTTACATGGGGATTGCTGATGAGATGGTCGTATTGCAAATGCTTTAGACACCCCTTTCATGTTTAAAAACAATGCTTAAACTATACTATTCAGGTAGATCTATATATGTTTTCGGTTCTTTTTCATTTTCGTTTTCATTTTTTCCGCTTGGTCTGTATTTTCACATACTATTAATAATTAGAGGTTCTTATATACCGCTTTACCACAACCTAGGTAATCTCAAAGCGGTTTACAAATTATTATTCATGGTTATAGGGCCTTTGCAACCAACCAATATCTTTCTAAACTCCCTGGGGAGCTGCCGGTGCTGCCATTTCGGCTCTCACATTCAATAATTCCAGCACTGCCTAACCACGTACTCATTAACAGCTGAGTAGACTGGAACAAGTGGAGAAAAGTATCTTGTTCGAGGATACAACAGTGTCGTGCCGTGACTTCGGTCACGGGACCGGCGTCTTACCACTAGACTACCATGCCTCCGTAGTCAGTACCTGTTACATATATATAACTTCCCATGGTTCATATCCCTATACTCAATAGTATGTATACCACGCCCAGTGTTTGGTGCGATGGGTGGTTGGGGTATTGTTATGGGTAAATATTTTTTCTTTACATTAGCAATTCTATAGAATCGGCAGCGCTCCTTACGAATACGGGTACATAAAGAGGAGCTGTTTTGCCATTCGCCTCTTCCTAATCCAGATGTCAGTCTTAAAAGTAACGTGTCAACATCCAATTAGGGTGTGTATTTCACCTCACCTGTTTTGACCACTTGTAAGATACATGTACCGTTAACATATCTTTCCCATAGTTTGAGGCGGTTCTCGATAAGCACGTACGAGTGTTTGCTCCATATATTCCATGAGCAGCATGCATCAATAGGTGAAAGTGGGCTCCCCAGAGCTACCCATAGTTTGGTTGGTTAATTGTTCCCACGACTCTGCACTCATGATGTCATTCCAAAATAAAAATCAGTGTAAAATCTATCACAGAATAATAGGCACAACGACGCTTCTGTTTAAATTTGGTATAAAAGATGATAAAAATGTACTTTCTATAACTATGAAGATGAAGACATGTATCTTATATGGCAATGTATTCATGTGGACACCATTTGGAGAACTTTCTTAGACTTACTATATGTAAAATGTAATATAGAACATGCAATGCGATTTTCCATACGGTGTTCTACTTTTCCATGTGTGAACGCTGGCTACATGTATCTGCCTGCCACCTTGGTAGACTGTATCCCAGTGGAATCGATGTAGTCACAATAGGTTATTACGGATTGTCGCGAAATGTATGGGTCATTTTTACTAAGGTAGGATAGGCCCTTTTATATCGTTCTTCATTGATATTGTCCTTGTTCTTCGTCCTAGTGAGAAAAGCTACCACGTAGCTTAGTTTTATAATAGTGTGGGATCTTTTTAAAGCATCTCATATTTTTCTCGTCACTAAGCTTCTTTTTTTTCCTTTCCATATGCTACTTTATGGTAACGGTTGCTCTGCTCTTGTCTGCTGATCAAAGACTTGTGGATTTGTTTTATATTTGATATACGTCATGCACAAACAATTTTTGAAAACTATTTTTGCGAGCTTGTATGCTTACAACAATGATTATTCGCACTCTCTTTAACAAGATTCATCAGTTTGGAAATATGTAATATGAAAGTTTTACCTTTTACACAAGCAAAGTACGTATTAAACGTGTCCCACTCAGTCAAATCTTGACAAAGGGACCAGTCGGTCATGAAACGTTGCGACACGTTTAATACGTACATTAAATTGTTTGTGTAAAAAGTAAAACTTTGATACATGTATATCATTTGCACTCTTTGCTTGACAGTGAAAAGGTGTCAAAAACATAAAATACTGTTTGTATACAAAACAACTTATAAACATTCTTAAAACTGGGGATTCAAGACAAATACGCGGTTTCTGTATATTCCGACAACAGTGGTTAGAACTGGAGAAGAGTGTTTACAATTTGTTACATAGCACGCTGACAACATGTGGACCTCTTGTTTTTATTAACGTCACGATGTGGACTCAGACTTTTATTAACTTCACGTATCTCTCTTAATTTTAACAGTTGTCCTTTTTTAACATATTTCTGGAACATAACAGCAATCTACCTGCACACAGATCATATAGAGTTACAACATCGAACAACTATATATTCCTAAAGCACCCCAAGTGCTGACCCAGGCTATCCCTGGCCCCGTCGTCCGAGGCCTTCCCCGGCCCGGCTCTCTCTCCAGATACTCCTAATAGCTCTAAACTACCAGATTACCTATGAAATTCTCTCCAAGTCCTTTTAACAATCTATACAAAAAATACTATTCATGAGTATGTACCTTCCATTGTACATAAGTAATATGGCACGTGCAGCAATTTTAATCTAACTTCTAATCTAACTTTTAAGCTTACTTTCCCCTTCCAAAACAACAATACTAGATGCACCATATGGCAATGACCCCCTGTCTGGTTCGGGAAGTTCACACTCTCGTTCCTTATCTCTATGTCATCCATGACTGACTTGGTCACCACTTTAGATGGTAGCCCTGTAGCACTATCTTCAATTCAACAGTTGCCTGTCAATCACTGCACGGTGTTATCCCAATCGTAAGATCTGACCTCAATGTACTTTTGACCAAAGCGCTGCTCTTTATTGATATCCACTGCCTTACATGTTATAAGATGGTTCCATTCTTTATCATTAGGTACCTAATTACAGCCCATTTTGTCACAAATAGAACCTTCTGAATATTTGCAAAGCTTAAGTCTTAATTGTTGTTATATTACGAAAGTTTTGGTTTAGAATCTGTCGGTACGACATGCAGGTCGGCAGAGGATTTAGTTTAATGAAGGTTACGGCAGAGGGTCAAATGAACACTACGAATTCAGGACAAACAGAGGAATAAGTATGTATTGTAAAAGTATGATTCTGAATTGCATCCCCAGTTACTTATGAAACATATGCGTTACGCAGTTTGTTGTTGTTGTTGTTGTTGTTTTTGGAGTTTTCCCCCGCAAATGTTATTGAAGATATTTCATTAAAGTACAGTTGACTAATTATCTCGATTCTTTCTGAACATTTTATAAGAATAATTGATGTTGCGGCGGTGTTAGGAATTGCGTTGCATTAGAGCCACCTATCACCTACTCCAGTGTCTATTTGATACCGCATGTTTTCTCAGTGGGCCGAAATCACTGTCCTCACCAAATAGCCCAACAGCTTGTTGTTTCAGCTGGACAACGTTTTGCTCCTTGTTTACCATTTCCGTCGCCGTTTAAAAAAGGCTCTGTCTTGGCGTTACATGAGATCGTCCAGTGTGTCTAAAAGACTAACTATACATGCAATAGTTTTAAATGCATGAACTCCAAACTGTCGGGCCGGGAAACGTTGTGGTCGACCTTGCAAATTTAGAGCAATAATTATATATAAACCCTACCATCAACTTACATTCGCTGCATTCTGGTTTTTACTGGTTTGGGACAAAATTGTTGTGTGTTATTATCTGTACTGTACAGATCAGAAGTTCCGTTTTGAATGGNTGCTTTGTGGGCAAAATTCTTTTGTTCCTGTAACAGGTCCTTTATCACAGGCGGGTTATTCCCAATTAAAGGTGCTTGATGGCAATTAAGGTTCTGTGTTTAGACCTCACACAAATTTAAGCCAGCCCCTTCGAAAAATAGCGATGTTATAAGACCAAAACCAACAGTGTACGTGAAAACATATGTCGAAATATATCCATGTCATTGATAATGGTCAAAGGGGAGTAACATGTTTTACTAAGAAAATACGAAACAGTGCAATTTGGAATTATAACCTAACTTTACATACGATAACGACTTCCGGAGCAAAGACACCTAAAAATGTGAAACTGCCAATGAATATATATATATGTGGTTATTTTCAGTCTATGAAATAAGTTAATATGCTTTCCTAATTTTAGTGCATTCATCCTGATGCAGTGAGCAATCTTTATGATCACATCTAGTCAGAAGGAATGATAATGACCGAGAAATTAAAGGTCTTGTGGTAGCCGACCTACAGGTGTTGTCGACACAGTGACGCAGTGAGAGACATGACTAACACTAACAGTGCGTGGAGTTCTAGACGGCGCCTAGCGCGAATTCGATGCTTATTTGAATCTATTCGATGCTTCAGCGAAGGCAAAGCCCTACCAGAGTGTCTCTGTTATATTCCAGCAGAAGTTGAATACCAGAGTCAAAACAGAAGTGTGGTTAAATTGTATCAGGATGTGCAGAAGAGCAGCAAAAAAGTGGGAGAGATAACATTGACTAACGAATCTCGATTAGTAGTTAGTGGTGAAGAATATTGTAATTCTCAAGGGAAATGGCTGAAAGTGAGAAAGGTAAAATATCTTTGTCATAAAAAGTGATGGAAGCTCCTATTAGTGTTATAGCAGTGTTTGTCATTAATATGAAATGAAACTGATCAAGAAACAAATAAGAATCCTAGACGTTTTGCATCCTCGATATCCAGGGGTTATGCTCACTAATGCTCTCTGCACCCCTTGACTATGTCATAGCAAAATTGAAGGCACAAAGACAGTTGATTGATTGGTCTTGGGTTAAAAAAAAACTGACAATCACTAGGCCGATATATACTGTATCTGTCATTTGAAGATTACAAAGGGATGACACGTGCTCCCGACTTCAAAGTCAGTCATTTTTTTACCTTTAAGTGACTGCCACATTCTTTTGATGTATATCAAAGGCTCGAACAACTAGTGTTCTTGTCTCATCAATAAGCTTAAGGTGTTCTTCAATTTTGCTATGAAATATTCCAGAGGTGTAGAGAGAGTAAGTGAGGGTAACACCTGGATATCGAGGATGGACGTTTTGAACTAGTCTTCTTGTCTCATCAACAAGGTGGCGCACACTGAGCTTTCACTTTTGCTATGAAATATTCAAGGGGTGTAGAGAGTGGAAATGAGCATAACCCCTGAATATCGAGGATAGATGTTTTGGTTCACAATAGGTTTGTACTTTATTGGAAAGACGAAATATACTGAAGAATCTGAAAATATAAAATCAGCAGCCCACCATTCAAGACATAACGAGCAAACGCAGTACTGAGTTGAAACAGCAGTTCAGGTGCTGAAAATCTTGTAAAATATCAAAAAAACTTCTTCAAGTACCAAAACATCTCAGTACCAAAAAAAATAAGTACTGAAATGGCAAACCACAAAATATTATATGCTTTGCTGGCCATAACCTCTGATCAAACATTCTTCCCTGCAAAACAAAAATAGTGTTATGGATGTATGGAATCCAGGTATACTTATACAGTGAAACCCCACTTACTCGAACTCGCATAACTCGAATACCCCCTATTCCTCGAATAGTTCGCTTGGTCCCGACCTTGTTCCTAAATATTCTTTGAAATTTATCTTTGGATTGCTCAAATTCTAATTATTCCCCGACCACTCAAAACCTTAGTATTTTACCTATCCATTCGTTGAACTGGTAGACACACCCGCGTGTATAGCCGCATGCTGTCAACATTCTCGAGGCACAGGTTGCGGTCCACGCTCATTGTGCTTATACAGGTGTCGGCTGGACATCAGATAATTAGAGGATTAACGTCAGTATCATTTAGTCACTGTACCATTACCCTGTTGTAGTTGCATTATCATTTTGTGTGCATATTTATTATTTCCAGACGATGTTTTGACATCGATGATTTGGCGGAAGTGTTAATTCACTAGGTGTGTAAAACCATATTTCGACATGACAATATTAAGCGGAAATCACAAAGCGAATTCTCAACCATCTTTAAAGACGTTCAAACTTGAAAACGTCTTGATTGACGATGTCGGTTGAACCTCGGATTCGTCGAATACCATGTATTCCTCGACCTGTTGATCGTGATCCCACGAGTTCGAGTTAGTGGGGTTTTACTGTAAGACATGCTTTAAAAGTAAATGGTTGCTACATTTTTACTTCCCTACTGGACATCAATTCCAGTTTCAGTACCTGAAAATAGGTTGTTTTGGTACTTTTTTGTAAAGATGAAAAGAGTGAAGATTCTTAAAATACTGATCACACTATCAAACCACAAAATGCAAACCCAGTGCCGGGATGAAAAGTTAGTCTTAGTTAACACTAGTGCTGAAAATCTTGCACTGTATTCAAGCAACCAAAACATCTTTCACACGAACCGAACAACTGAGTGCTGAAACACCTGTCCCCCAGGATATAATTTCATTAATTAAACATTTGTACTTTTTCTGAATGCAGTTATGTAATGCCCATTATGCATATGACGTTCCTGCTATGCTGATAGGTTTATGATCTAAAAGCAGATGTTCAAAATTTCCAGAGATAAAGAATGTTCAGTCTTTGTGTGATCTGCCTTGTAGCCTCCCTTGTATTAATTGGGAAGCTTAGTTCAATTCTGAATTGTTTTACGCCAGACTTGAGACCTACATACATTTTTACGTACATATGTCCGTATATAAACATTTATCAGATTCAATGTGAACTGATAAGGTTTCATTTTTTTTTTTTTAAATTACGTAGACTAGTATGTTCACAGTCACACCATATACGTTGTACTGCTTTTTACAGTTCAGAAGTTGTCCATCAGGTGAGTACGTCACATATGACAGTGATGCCTGGGTGCTCCAGTACAGCAGTAAGACAGCCTCTGATGATCCCGCTCTACAAATCCTCCCCAGTAACACCCTTGACAAGAACCGGAAACATTCAGACAGGTAAAACTACTAAAAGATGTTTGTTATGTATAACTAATTTAGATATAGCTTAAACTGTTTGTAAGTAGGATCCCGCATCAGAGATGCAGGTGCCCTATATATAGTAATACCAAGGTGTCCTAATTCTGTCCATCTGTCTGTCCGCCCACACTTTTGTTTCCGGAGATTATTTCGGAAACCGAAAACCCAATCTTTCTGAAGTTAGACATGATGATACACTGTGAAATGTAGATGTTCAATAGGAGTTTTAAAATTGTATAAGGTCAAGGTCACTGTTATATAATTATTAAAAATAGACTGTTCTGTCCTAATCTCGTTATCCAAAAGTGAACTTTAGCATGGTGATACACTGTGATATGTAGATGTGATATAGGGGTTAAAACAATTTAAGGTCAAGGTCAAGGGTAGTGTGTGGGGGTGGGCCTTGCTGACCTTTCAATGTTCCAGTTATCATATAGCTATAATACAATACTATCATGGTATCTGTTCACATCGTTCATATGTATTTTCAAATATGACTTTCCTATTGTCAGTCATTATGTACATTGGCCAATCCAAGAAGTGAATTTCATAATTACTACCACATTCATATTTTTTTCACTAATATTGATATCAAAATCTTACGAAGGACAACTTTATTCACATTTCCTTTTCCCTTCTTATGAAAATTGTCTTAGTGTAAAGGCATATGATAAAAGCTATACCACTTTTGTATAACAGCTGGGAAGATGCAGTAGAGCAGCACTTTGCAGGCCAGTTCCTCACTCGGAGAGTGCGGCTAGCTGACAGTGATGTGTCGGCCATGTCATGTCTGAGGGAAATCCCGGCCGGTTGGACACTGGAGGGGGACGAGGAGCTGGTTAGACTAATGTCCCAGCACATTCCACCAGACAATGACCACCTGGGCAGCATCAAAAGCTTCGTGGAGTCAGTAGACGTGTCGTCCTGTTGTGTAAGTGTTGTTTATAATGGACAACATTTTACTGTGATTTCTCATGTTCACACTTGAGTGCTTGATGTAGACTTATGCCATTAAGATTTAATGAAATATGTTCACTTTAAATTACCCAAAAATAAATTCATAATTCTTGATACTATTTTTTTCTCCGCATGTACATTACCCATGAAATTTATAAAACATACTTTTGATTTGAATATAAAGTCAAATCTCAATTTTGAAAAAAAATAGTATTCTTTTAAGCATAATTATTGTCTGACACTAGTTTATCTGTTCTTAATTTTGTAGAATTGATTACAATAAATTTTGATCTTTTATATGCAGAAAATTAAGAAACAGTCAGTAATGTAAACATTGAAAAGAGAAGTTCAATCGATCCATGCTTCAGAAAAAGAGGACATGCAACTTGGAAACTTATTCAATTAAAAAATGTAAAAGAAATCCTAATTGGATGAATGATTGAACATGTATGATAGTCATATTCATACTTTCCAACTTTTGAAATTTCCATGGAGATTCTGCATGCAAAAATTAAAACCTAAATAAAATGTGTGTATCTACCCCCTAGAGACAAAATAACCCTTTGTGAGGTTCAGATGAAATAATTAGATCTTAGAACATAAGAAATGTTGAGTAAATTCACTGGTTGAAAATACTAAATTTAAGGGTCCAAAATCAGTAGTCTCCCTCCTAAATAGGGAGAGTTGGCGGGTAAGATCTATTCCCGCAGTTTGCTAGTAAATCAAGGCTGATTTGCCTTAAGCATCACTGTGTTCTGATGAATTGAAGACACAGAGCAGGTACATAGGCATAATAGTGTGTGTATCCTAGGTTCAATTTACATAGGCATAATAGCCTGTGTATCCTAGGTTCAATTTACATAGGCGTAATAGTGTGTGTATCCTAGGTTCAATTTACCTAGGCATAATAGTGTGTTTATCCTAGGTTCAATTTACATAGACATAATAGTGTGTGTATCATAGGTTCAATTTACATAGACATAATAGTGTGTGTATCATAGGTTCAATTTACATAGACATAATAGTGTGTGTATCATAGGTTCAATTTACATAGACATAATAGTGTGTGTATCATAGGTTCAATTTACATAGACATAATAGTGTGTGTACCTAGGTTCAACTTACATAGACATAATAGTGTGTGTAACCTAGGTTCAATTTACATAGACATAATAGTGTGTGTACCTAGGTTCAACTTACATAGACATAATAGTGTGTGTACCTAGGTTCAACTTACATAGACATAATAGTGTGTGTAACCTAGGTTCAATTTACATAGACATAATAGTGTGTGTACCTAGGTTCAACTTACATAGCCATAATAGTGTGTGTATCCTAGGTTCAATTTACATAGACATAATAGCCTGTGTATCCTAGGTTCAATTCACATAGGCATAATAGCCTGTGTATCCTAGGTTCAATTTAGATAGACATAATAGCCTGTGTATCCTAGGTTCAATTTACATAGACATAATAGCCTGTGTATCCTAGGTTCAATTCACATAGGCATAATAGCCTGTGTATCCTAGGTTCAATTTAGATAGACATAATAGCCTGTGTATCCTAGGTTCAATTCACATAGGCATAATAGCCTGTGTATCCTAGGTTCAATTTACATAGTCATAATAGCCTGTGTATCCTAGGTTCAATTTACATAGTCATAATAGCCTGTGTATCCTAGGTTCAATTTACATAGGCTTAATAGTGTGTGTATCCTAGGTTCAATTTACATAGACATAATAGCCTGTGTATCCAAGGTTCAATTTACATAGGCATAATAGCCTGTGTATCCTAGGTTCAATTTAGATAGACATAATAGCCTGTGTATCCTAGGTTCAATTTACATAGGCATAATAGTGTGCGTATCCTAGGTTCAATTTACATAGGCATAATAGCCTGTGTATCCTAGGTTCAATTTAGATAGACATAATAGCCTGTGTATCCTAGGTTCAATTCACATAGGCATAATAGCCTGTGTATCCTAGGTTCAATTTGCATAGACATAATAGTGTGTGTATCCTATGTTCAATTTACATAGGCATAATAGTGTGTGTGTATCCTAGGTTCAATTTACATAGACATTATAGTGTGTGTATCCTAGGTTCAATTTACATAGACATAATAGTGTGTGTATCCTAGATTCAATGGAATGCTGCCTTCCCTGCAGGGCACTACATACAACAGTATTATTGTTTTTCCAATTGAAGTCCTTGATAATTCTGTGTTTTTCATGATATGTTTTAGATAATTCATTCAATCATATAAAGTAGAAGAGGTTATTGTCCCATGCTTATTTATAACAGTGCAAATGATCAGCTTATAGGCAAATACGGTTTGGTAGTTGTGATGACAAAAATGTGTCCTTATACCAATTGAGCTATCTCATCATCGACAATCGACCCAGTCCAGTTCCACTACATTCCTCCCTCCTTTTCTCCCGAAGACACAACTATTTACAACCCCGGTTCAGGTATCCCCTTGCCCATCCTCGATACCCAGGGGTTACGCTAACTTACGCTCTCTACACCCCTGGAATATGTCATAGCAAAATTGAAGGCACAAAGATAGCTGTTTGATTGGTCTCAGGTAATAAAAACTGACCAATCGCTAGGCTGATACATGTCCTTTGAAGATTACAAAGGAGAGATGCCCGACTTCAAAGCCTGTCAATTTTTACCGTTACGTGACCACGAGATGTACATCAAAGGATCGAACTAGTCTTGTCTCATCAACAAGGTGGCGCACACCGAGCCTTCAATTTTGCTATGACATATTCCAGGGGTGTAGAGAAGACTAAACCCTATTTACTTTATTGTTTTATATTAACACAGGATGACGAGGCTGGACCATCATGTCTGACAGATGCTGACCCCGACACCTATTGGGAGAGTGATGGTAGTCAAGGGAACCACTGGATCCTTCTCAAGATGAAAAAAGGAACTGTGATTTTGTGAGTCTTTTTTTATCTCATGTCAGCTTTCTAGTATATGTATCTACAGATATTTCGTTTAATTGAAATGATCTTAACTCTTTCACCACTGTAGACCATAATGGACTCATCCAGATCAAAGCAAGGAAGAGTTAACTAAAGTGACATAGGGGTGAAAGGGTTAACCTAGATCTGAATTCACTATTGTAGTTGAATAATATATTTAGCTATCTTGGCCTTGTGGTTGTGCCGTACTGCGACTTTTCCTGAAGAACTGGAGGACGAAGGGTAATGATATTTGACCAGTTGGTACCTTTGATGGAGTGCCATAAAGTTTCCTTATAAAAATGACCTTGACCTAGTTTTAAGGTCACAGGGGTCAAATATGTGAAAACTTAAAACAACAATATCCTAAGAACCATTTGGACTAGAGTCATTATACTTGGGTATGTTAAGTAGACCAGCAGTACAATTTTATTTCCTCTGCACAGTAATAAGGTCAAAGGTCAACTTACGGGTAAGTGCTAGTCGGGGGTCAAAGGTCGACATGGGTTAAAAGCTTTTACAATCTTTTTCTCAAGTTCCATAAGGCCCAGGGTCAAGATATTTGACCAGTTGGTACCGGGGATGGAATGCTATAAAGTTTCCTCATTAAAATGACCTTGACCTAATTTCAAATTCACAGGGGTCAAATATGTTAAAAACTTGTTGAAAACAGTTGAAGAGATGTTAAAATGTCTTGTGTTCTAGTTACCAAATTTGGTCTGAAGTTTCATATATGTCAGTTTCATGTAACAAAAGAAACAGGTGAGCGATACAGGCCCTCTGGACCTCTTGTTTATATATTGTACCTTGTCCTTGTATGTTTCTTTTACGTATTACTCTTATCGTTCTGTTATGGCAATTTGCCAATATATTATTTGATCATATTGCCAAAACCCAAAAAATATTCATTTACACTCATTACTTTTCTGCTATTTCAAAGTTTTGATGTTACCAACTTCTGCTGTTGGTTGATTTGGTTGCTATACAAATATTTTCAGTTTCAAGTAGCCACTGTCAAGGGCTCTAGGTGGTTAAGTTTTCACCTCCTTCATTTCAAAGAGTACCTTTAATTAACCTTTTTACCAAATAAATAATTATGTATCTTCCTGAAACCTAGAAAACAAATGTAAACATTCCTGGACACTTATTGGGGGTTGGTTCTTTACCCCAGTATTATTTATACCGAATAAGTATAAATTATCATAGGAAGATCCTGATGAGTTAAAAACAAATTTGGCCCAGTTACAAATATGGGATTGAGATGCTGTTATGTTATGCAAGAAATTGCTTTGATATTACTTACGTGTTGATATTACTTAATTACGTGTTGATATAACTTATGTGTACCTATTTATGTTCCCCAGAAAGCTACAGCTGACTCTAGATGGCTCTGATGACAACTACCTACCAGCCCGGGTGATAGTACAGGGCGGGGAACAGGAAAACCTGCGTGCACTACGTACATTGGTACTAGACTGGTCAGTTTTATACACTTCTTTACTATCATTGGTCCTAGACTGGTCAGTTTTATACACTACTACATGTATCACTGGCACTAGACTTTTCAGTTTTATACACTACTAGATGTATCACTGGTACTAGACAGGTCAGTTTTATACACTACGTACACTGGGCCTCGACTGGCCAGTTTTATACACTCTTATCACTGGTCCTAGACTGTTCAGTTTTATACGCTACTACATGTATCACTGGTACTAGACTGGTCAGTTTTATGCACTACGTACACTGGTCCTAGACTGGTCAGTTTTATACACTACTACATGTTTCACTGGTACTAGACTGGTCAGTTTTATACACTACGTACACTGGTCCTCGACTGGTCAGTTTTATACACTACTATCACTGGTACTAGACTGTTCAGTTTTATACACTCCTACATGTATCACTGGTACTAGACTGGTCAGTTTTATACACTACTATAATTGGTAATAGACTGGTCAGTTTTATACACTACTACATGTATCACTGGTACTAGACTGGTCAGTTTTATACACTACTACA